TAGGCAGACATAAAGTCGTGAAAGTATAACACCATTTTACAAGACTTCACACGCCTATATCCCTTATGGTTAGTATGAATTAAACTGCTTTATGGAACGATTCGGAGTTTTCCACATGTTTCATAAAGCCGGCCTAAGACAAGCTACATTTAACGATGATGCATCTAACATCCTACTCTGTGAATAAATAAGCGATCGATACCTAGTGGTCATATAAATATCCAACCCCAAAATAGCATCTGTAATTTCATATTTTACATGAAGTGGTACCAATGAAGTGCTTCATTCATTTTCTTTTGTAATATACTTCGCATTCCCTTTTTACAACTATTAAATAACCATGTTACTTGAGTTTCTTTTAAGCCACATAACTACTGATTTTGTTGCATACATTGAATCTTCGAAACATGTTGTTCCACGTCCTAATAAAGCAATGCAACTAGATGATAGTTGGGTGGAAAGTCAAAAACAGCCCATAAGAATGAAAATTGACCGTGACAGTGATTCACTCACATCACTCAATTGCTTACTCACGTTTGTTTCTCCTCCTGGAGGAGCATGGGCCACCCACCAGCACTCTATATCCTAACCTGTCCTGGGCAATCCATACAGCTCTTTCCAGTTGTTAGTAATCCTTTTCATATCTGCTCAGATAAGAACAGACAATTTTCTCTTGAAATTCTGAAACATTAATTCTTTCATAAACATCTGGTTACACACGATATATTTTTACCGAAGTTGTAAGAAGTATGATAGTTTTCTTCAAAGTTTGGGTAAAAACCTTAAAGTGTTATGAGGTTCTGTAGAAATACTGAAGAAAACCCAAATTTTACCCAAATGTTTTGGAAATTTTCTCCAGACTTAGAGAAATTTTGAAGCTTGTGTACCATTTTCCCAAAGTTTTCAATAGCGGTTTCCGCAAAATTTACCCAAACTGGACAAAATTTTCCCCAAAATAATTACGTTAGGACCAAGTAAATGTGAGTCGCTTTTTATCTATATATATAGGAAACCAACCTATACAGATCAAATCTTCAACTACAATAGCAACAAATCAAGAGCTCACAAAATCAACTGCGTACACATTTTGTTCAAGAGGGCGAAGACACAATACAGCACACTGGCAGCACGAAAAATCGAAGAGAAAGACCTGAAGGACGTATTTCAAAAGAACGGCTACCCAATCAACTTCATCAAAAAATACCAACGGCACGCAGCATCGAAACCCAAGTCAAGCAAAAAAGTCAACAAACGGGTAACCCTACCATACATACACGGAATATCAGAAACCGCAACGAGACTGCTAAAAACCTTCGGGATAGGTGTAGCACACAAACCGACAAAATCACTACATTCAATCCTGTACAAAGCGAAGGATGAAATAACAAAGTAAAATAAATTAAACATCATCTACGAAATAAATTGTGCCAACTGCGAAAAACACTACATCGGACAAAGAGGACACCCTCTTCACCTTCGCCTACACGAACATCAATTAACAGTCAAATGCCATGATATCTCCTCACTTATATCAATACACGTGGACAACTGCGGACACTTATTCGATTGGGAAAATGTAGAAATCTTAGACAGAGGAAACCCCAAAAACACCAGAGTATTTTTAAAAGCCTGGCACTCAGGTCAATCAGCAATCAACAAGCATATTGAAATCAATCCGATTTATCAACCAATCAGAAAAATCATGCACAAATATAGGAACAAAAATCAAACCAATGGGAGACCTAACCAAAACAAAGAAGTAAACAATGATTAATTTAAGGTCACTAGGAACCAATCAACCTGCCCGACTATTACCCACGACCCAGCCTATAGACTTAGAAACAACGCATATACACAACTTACCGTAAAACACCAAAAACAAATGCGTTGTAAGTTCTTTACAGTACGGTACAGTTTATTGTGGAACAGGCTGCCAATGCCTATCCGTAATTGTGATACGTTTATCAGATTCAAAAGGCTAATAACCCTATTTCTAGACTCCAAAGAGCTTCAACATTTCCTTGAATTCCCGCCCACCAATGAGGCACTTTATTACGGACCTCCTAGTATCTAGAAAAAACAAAATTATAACAAGTTCGACTGTTACTAATATGAATATAACTGTAAGATCCAAACTACGTTTGGACTGCTGGACAGCTGTCTGGATGAGTTAGATACGCGCCCTCGCCCGATTGAAACCAAAACAAAGTAATTGGGTAAGATAGCGGTTCTATAATTTATCATAAATTTAAGTGTACATTATTACCTAAACAAATATAACCACTCAGCTATCCAACCAATAATTGTTTAATTGATCAACTCTAAACTATAATAAATAAGAACGTTGATAAAGGATGCAAGAAAATTACCAATCACCACAAATAAATGTTATTCTATCCTGTCTGGATAGATCACGTACAGATTCGTTCAAAAGGTAATACTTGGTCGCTCTATAACCCAGAGTGTTTTCAATTCTGGAAGAGTGCTGCAATTCACAACAAAAATGCACAGTCCCAGTCAACGCAGGTCAAGCAATCACAAACAGGAACAAACCAAAATGGCTGCCGCCAAGACTTAGTATAAAGTAAAACAACATAAGTGCAGTTCGGGAAGAAGCATAGGGAATTAGTGAAGGTGTGGTAAAAACGAAAACTATAATAAAATACAAATATTAACAATTCAACTGTAGTCAAAAAGTTAACATTGTACGACTAAAAGAATCAATAGGAACAAAGTGCAAGTATATACATGGAGGGATTTTCACGAACACACAAAGCATTCAAAATGGATCTTACACCGGCCCCCAAAATCCCTCCATATCACACAAGCTACCTTGATGCCTATGGTCATGGTTCATTATGTAGCATATGACACTATAGGAATGAATAGGACTTACAACAGTACGCCTACTCGACCTACCTACATTGATAATACGAGGAACTAATTCGAGCCTTCAAGGAGGCATAATCTACGTATATCTCTCCTGACTAATCCACCGTTCGTACGAACAACCACTGTTCTAACTCTTCCGTCGTCATCTATTTCACAATCTTCAACTACTCCTAAGGGCCATTTTCCACGCGTCGATATGTCCGAAGCCACGATCACTACATCCCCTTTCTGAAAATTGCGGTGTTCAACTAACCACTTTTGACGTTTTTGTAGGGATGGTAAATACTCTCTTAACCACCTTTTCCAAAACACATTAGCAAGATGATTAACCTGTTTCCAACGTTTGTCATATTTATCTCTGATGCTACCTTCTTCGACTATTCCGTCACATTCTCTCAATAACAACAAACTGTTTGGCGACAAAGCTAGTTTATCGTTAGCATCTTGAACGACCGGAGTTAAGGGTCGATCGTTCAATATCCTTTCAATCTCAATCAAATAAGTGTTTAAAGTCTCATCGGTTAGAGTCTGCTCTCTAGTTATCAGCAATAACAGTCGGCGTATGGACCTAATCATCCTTTCCCAAACCTCACCCCTGTGGCTGGCTGAGGGCGGGTTAAAATGCCACTGAATCTGCCTAGCTGACAGTTCTTTGTCTATTTTCTGTTGATTCAACTGTTGCACAAATCTCCTTAACTCAGAGACCGCACCCACAAAATTTGACCCATTGTCACTGTAAATTTCTGCAGGTTTCCCTCTTCTTCCAATAAAACGTAGCAAGGCCATTATAAACGAATCAGTATTCAAACTGTGTGTCAGTTCAATATGTACTGCTCGGGTTTGCAAGCAAGTAAATATACATCCATACCTTTTTTCTAATGATCTTCCTCTCTTGACAACAAGTGGTCCAAAGTAGTCTACTCCCACGGCTGAGAAGCTATACCATCCTGGTTGAACTCTACAAGCTGGAAGCGGCGCCATCAACTGTTGCCCTGTATTCATCGTAAACCGCCGGCATGTCACACACATACCTATCACTCTCTTAACCGTGCTGGTTGCCTTCATTATCCAATACCATTTTCGAATTATAGCCAATACTTGGGACGTTCCTGCGTGCCCTTGTTCTAGTTGTTTTTGTAAGCCTTCTAAAGATATTCCATTGATGACATCTACTGGATCGACTGAATTACCCAAAGATTTACTCATTTTTTTGCCATGAGCATCACGAACCATAGCATGTAAATAGACCGTATGAAATGGTAATTGTCCCATTAATTTCAAACCAATCATAACCATACGTGCAACCGAGAAAAATATAATATCATGCCCAGTTTCTAATAAACTACCAGGATAATAAGCCTTTAAATCTGGTATTTGTTCAGGCCAACCAAATCCAGATAATAGAAATAATTGTGAAGAGAACCACGTATCTAATACATCATTATCTTGGTTTAAAGTTAAGTTATCTGGTGAACAATGGAAATTATCACAGGCCTTTTGAAGTGCTTCTTCGATTGTATGACCAACTACCCATGAATTATGATCTGTAGGATCTAAAACTTCTAAATTATCTACGCCAGGACGTCGAATCGAAACATGAAAAGCAGGAATATGATGTCCTCACCATAATTGTCGAGAAATACACCAATCCTGACAATCTTTAAGTTAATTATTCCATGTACGAATATGGAAACTATGAATAATACGTGAGCGGCCTTCAGATACCTCCTTCATTGCCGCATTAGCCATGTCCTTACAACGTAGGTACCATCGAGGTTTCAACAATGGTTCAACAATATCTTTGCTTCGAGAACACATCGGTACAACCACAGGATTATCTTTCTCACCTCTATACACGCCTAATTCCACAAGAGCTTTCTGAACAACATCTCGAGCGACGAATCTTTGAAGTCCTGCAAATCTGGGACCTGTTTGACGCATAAATTTTACCCAATTTGGCCACGCGGACTTGTATGGCTCGTTGAGAGGCTGATCCCAGCCTATTTGGGACTTACATAATTTTTGCAAGAGGACCTTGGCAGGAAGACAGACCGGAGCAATTAAACCCAAAGGATCGAACAGAGAAGAAACTATGAATAGAATCCCTTTCATAGTCGGAAGCCTTTCAATACCATTTGTATACTTGATATACAGAATGTCATCTTTCAACAATCTACGCTTCAAACTCTGTAGTCTACTGTTTGCCACTTCATAATTCCCCCCTCCCATATTTGGGTGCACTTTCCATGGTATAGGGACTCCAAAATGACCATTTACGAAGCGTGTGCCACCTTCCACAATCCTTATAGCCGTCTTGTCGTCTACTGATAATGATTTATCATTTGAATAAACATCAGAAAACTCTACATCATAAGGTTTACGTATTTCGTTCTCCAAAGTCTGTAATTTACTGGTATGATTAACTACTCTTTTCCTATATTCCGAACATAACGCAGGTCCGAAAACCGTCCACCCCAGCAACGTCTTCACAGCGTACGGGCTTTTTCTTCCGCCCAACCGCTGGTCTAACACCCAGTGTGCTTCTGGTATGTCGCAACCAATCAACAGTAAAACTTCTTCAGAGTCTAGGCTATCTATTGGTACATCACTTAAATGCGGCCACTTAACTAGGTTGTTCATTGCTGACTTTGTTGGCTTATGACCTGGTATACGTGCTACAATCAGAGCTCCTTCAATCGTAACATGTTCAGATCGATCTAAAGAATATACCTCGAAAGGCGCACTCGTGACCTTCATTGTTCTATTACCGCCTACAGTCTCAACTACCACTGATGCTTCGTCTTCGCTCAGCCCGAGAGACCTCAAACAGTTTGATTTTATCAGTGTCACATCAGAACCGTTGTCCAACAGAGCGTAACCCACAATCTCGGCTTTTCGCGATTTCAACCGTACGGGAATCATGCCTAAACACACTTGACTGATTAGTGATTTAGTATATCCGCAACAACTCGAGGTACCAGGTTTCTCACTCTCGCTGTGTAACAAAGAATGGTGTTTCCTTTCACAACCCTCAACGTTACAACGTTTTGCCAGCTTACATTCACTAACTTTATGCCCTTGCCTGAGGCAGACAAAACAGATGCCATTAACCTTCGCGTGAGACCATCTCTCTTGAACGGTAAGCGCTAAAAATTTTGGACATTTATAAATAGCATGGTCTAGGGAACACACACTGCATTTAGCTTTCTCTTTCGAATTATTCGCCTGCTCCAATTGCAAGTGACAATTTGTCTTTACGTTGTGTCCCTTTCTCGGACGATTCGCTAACCGTCCAAACCTACTATTAGCTACCCTCGCGCGGGATGCTATAAATTGTGTAAGCTCGTCAAAGGTTGGTTCTCTATTATCTTCAGTCAATTCATCTACCCAGTCCGCCCATTGGGCTTGCATAACTTGAGGTAAGAGTCCTACTATTCTCTCTAAGGTAATTAAAGAATTTAAGTCGGCAGTATACTTCATCTGTTTCAAAACCATAGAACAATTTTCCATCCTAATAGCTAGATTTGTTAGTTGCTCAGGATCACTGTAATCAACATTTGTAGTTTTGAATAAGTCCTCTAAAGTCTCCCGAGCGATTACATGCGCCTGTCCGAACAACCGTTTTAGAATTTCTTTGGCCTTTTTGTAACCAAAAGAGGCTTCCAACATAACACAACCCTCAATGGCTGTTTTCGCTTTACCCTTACAATAATGTATCAAATAAAGCAAGCGTTGACCATCATCCTTGACCCTTGATTCCACATAGGTCTCAAACTCCCTTAAAAACTTCCAGTAACCTCTTGGTTGACCGTCGAAATAACCTAACTCAACCTTTGGTAACTCTGGACCTATGAAAAACGCCGACGGCCTTACGTCTTTTGCTTGCTTCACGTCTAAATTAAGGTTTTCTATGCCATCTGACATTATATCACAACTAGATTCACTATAATTACAATCGTCCCTATTAGAATATGAACCATGACACATAGAAGCATCAGAAGGCACTTGCTTTGATTGAGGGGATCCATCCTTTTGTTCATCTCTTTTAACATCCACAAGCCTTGGACTTAATTTCCTTCGACGATTGTTTGGCATCGGAAGCGAACGACCAGATATTCCCAGAGACGATGATTGGAATCAACGAAACGAAAGCCAAACGAATTCGACCAAATATTTGTTTAGAACTGTAAGATCCAAACTACGTTTGGACTGCTGGACAGCTGTCTGGATGAGTTAGATACGCGCCCTCGCCCGATTGAAACCAAAACAAAGTAATTGGGTAAGATAGCGGTTCTATAATTTATCATAAATTTAAGTGTACATTATTACCTAAACAAATATAACCACTCAGCTATCCAACCAATAATTGTTTAATTGATCAACTCTAAACTATAATAAATAAGAACGTTGATAAAGGATGCAAGAAAATTACCAATCACCACAAATAAATGTTATTCTATCCTGTCTGGATAGATCACGTACAGATTCGTTCAAAAGGTAATACTTGGTCGCTCTATAACCCAGAGTGTTTTCAATTCTGGAAGAGTGCTTCAATTCACAACAAAAATGCACAGTCCCAGTCAACGCAGGTCAAGCAATCACAAACAGGAACAAACCAAAATGGCTGCCGCCAAGACTTAGTATAAAGTAAAACAACATAAGTGCAGTTCGGGAAGAAGCATAGGGAATTAGTGAAGGTGTGGTAAAAACGAAAACTATAATAAAATACAAATATTAACAATTCAACTGTAGTCAAAAAGTTAACATTGTACGACTAAAAGAATCAATAGGAACAAAGTGCAAGTATATACATGGAGGGATTTTCACGAACACACAAAGCATTCAAAATGGATCTTACACAAACCAAATCACAATATATGGCTTATCCTTTCCTATTACTCATTGTTTATTAATCATGACTTCATGCTCCTAACCCTAGCTTTCAGTTCCCAAATCTCTACAGGTTAAATGTACATTATTCTTCCTAAAAGTCATGCCTTTTTTTCTAATGCAAGTAGACAGATAGCTCAATCTTATGAATGCTGATCTACTTAGGCTGATCATTCAAAGTTCAAAATTTGGCCACAACGTCTTGTGAGTTTCTCAATGTTTTATTTGTCTTACCCTGAAATTTTTTTTCTACGATTTTATATCCTCTCATATCTTTTGATTGTCTATTAGTCCTCACTTCTTTAAACCATTAGTTATTTTCATAGCAGTGTGATATACTATGTGGACATCTAACCCATAAAACAAATTTTTTAACTATCTGATTTGCTTGTAACATGGACCTAGTAGAGACAGTGTATTCCAACTATGGGCTTTGATCAAAGCAGTATTCATACTTACCACAAACGTAAGAGAGCCTAACATCACAAAAGGAGGGAGGGTGGCGTTACTGACCAGCAAGCATGAAGGTGGGGAGATAACTTCAATCCACCCATGTCTGTAGGGCAGAACATTTTGTTTAATTACGGCTCCTTATGGTTAAGTGGGATGCCACGAACTTATGGTATTGAAGCTGATTTATTCACGCAAAATACCTCTTTAAGTCGTGTTACGAACTTTGAATCGGTTTCACTTCCTACCCAGAAATCCTATTACAAGCAAACTAGACGATTCGCTAATATACGAAGCCTAATCAATACCCTATAATAGCTGGGGGAAAAATATTTTAAAAAAACGAAAGGGGCTCTAATAGCTTCGATAATAAAGGGAAGACAGCCAAATGTATATCACAATACTGTTTCTAGCACTTTACTTTATTTTATAATCACACATAATCTTATACTCTCAGCTCTTTTCCGAACCGCCCTCATTTGTCAGTTGTATGTCCACTCACACCTTGTCAACACTTATTTTCTTTAACTTATTAAAATGCTCTTTCTTAACATATACCTTAATAAAGGAAAATTAGACTGAGTAATCATACCTTAAACATTCCTTCATGAATATTGACTACTCTGCCTCTGGTGTTTTTTTTACTTGCTCCCTCTTTCAGCCCCTTGAGATATGGAACTGGTTACTTTATCCTGCACCATACTTAAAGCCTTGGATATCCCAAAGGGACATAAGGTTGCGATTTCTAAAAGCTCATACCTTCAATAGACCTATCCTTGACAATCAGTCGCACATTCGCAACGCAACTTTCATGAAGCGCGCCAACTGTGGCACTGATTAAAACCATCTACATTCATATCTTATAAATTATCAACCCAACTATGTGATTTATTACAGTGTATATTGTATCATTTGTATCAATTTGATCTTGCCTGTAAACTGGCATGCCTCATGTAACAAACTGTTATTTGAGAATAAATTATTGTTATTATTATTATTATATCTACCATTCATATGAAATATATTGCTCCTTCTCTAGTCTAACCCTGCTCTACAACATGTATTGGTAATTGATACGATACAGTGAGTTGGTGTAGTCGATGGTGCGACTTCCGCGTAAGATCTTATAAATTAGGCAGTTATATCATGAAAAATCTACAATTTTAGGATTAGTTCTTTTATTACAGCAGTACTAATATCATAGTAGACCATAATTCTACAATTCTACAATTATGATAATGGTAAGGCAATGAGCCAGAGTATGAAAGAAATCTGTGATGTCAAGAACGCCTTAAAAAGGAGATTCGTTTTAACCAGACCTCGTCGAAGGTTTGCTGTAAGTCAGCTCATGCATCTGTAGCAAAATTTCTGTTGCTGAGCCTTTTCGGAACTTCATGTTGTTGAAAAATTCGTATAACCTTCTTTAAAGTGACGCAAGAAATTGTGCACGTGCGCCTGTGCTCATGAAATTCTGCAGAACCTATCTTCTATATCACTGGACCAGAATGGTATTCGTTGAGTATTGGGAGGTGAAAGACTCTTAATCTGAACAATTTGATAATCTGTTCGGTAATAATGGAGAGATATACAAACGAGCAAAAAATATATAAAGTACAAAATTAATATCAGAATATATAAAATTCCAACAAGTGGAAGACCAGTGGTTTGTTTTTTGGTGAACCAGATTACACTGAGTCCACTGCCAAGGGTGCAAAAGGTATGTGGAGTTTGACTATGCCTTTGCACGTGACACCATAATAATATAAGTATGCCAACCTAGTCAAGTCAGAAGTCTTTAGTGAAGTGGTTGAAAAGTATATTCAAAAACTATCGATATATCGAGATGTGTTTGGTGTAAGCTGGTTTGTAGTGGCCACACGTGTGTACAAGTAGTACACACTTATGATCCGGTGTGAGTGCGTGACCGAGCGCCTTCAGCTAGATGTGTTCAGTAAGACTATTGAGATTGTAGAATTATGGTCTACTATGATATTAATACTGTGCTAATAATAGATCTGATTGTTAAGCCCAAGTTTTCGTTCGTTCCCGTTATTGAAGTACCATTTATCGATCTATTTGCAATTTTCGAACCCAAATTAACAATAGAACCAAATTCCAATTTAGATACCAAAGTTTATACACAACTTGCAAATAGTCGACCCAAATGTCGTCCTTCAATTCTGTAGGTTCACGCAGCAAAAAATCTTAAATACCGAACCAATGACAAAGAGAAACCCAAATGTACGAAGATAATGATATAAAGAAACAAGTTGAAAAGTTAAGTAAAACAAATACATCCAAAATCGCAGTAAAATTATTATTATACGACTAAAAGGTTTTAATTATTCGAAGTTTAACAGTTCTCTTGTAACACTAATCCTAAAATCGTAGACTTGTCATTATATAACTGCCTAATATATAAGATCGTACGTCGAAGTCATACCACCGTCTGCACCAACTCATCGTATCGTGACAATCATCAATACATGATGATAAATTTCCTGAAGGAATCTTCTTCTTAATAAGCGTATCCGATAACCATCTTGTCATCTGTTTATTTTCACTTAAGAATTTCGCTCCCTCCACATGATCTTAAACTTCACATATCGTTTCTTGTATTTTGCCACACCTAGTAATAAATCTTGTCACCAACTCTCATTTTGAAATATTTAGGTTTTTATCCACGAATGTTTGAAGTCGTCATTCGCAATACACTCTGTGCTTTAAAGGTTTCTTTCGGTTTCGTTGGTTGTCATAGTTTTAAAACCTCCGAGGGATATTTAAAATGAATTCACTTTCCGAATGTACACAAATTCCTTCAAAGTATATGGACTATGCTGAGAAACATTCAATCTTTGAGCTCATGCAAGTATTGTTTTCTATTTTTACTTTCCAGAGATTACTTAAACTTTTAATAATCAATCGTCCTGGAGATCCTATATCATATTTAATTAGGTACCTGGAAAAAGATGTCGGAGATGGTAGTTCCACTGAAATTAAAAGACAGTTTTAGTACCTTCCATTTTTATTTTCGGTCCAAAGTCATCAGGCAAGAGATTGCTGGGTTCCATGTTGCAAGTGAAACTGCAATGCACAATGATTCATGGGGAAGACGTATACAGTTTATGTCCGGAAGGGAAAGTTAGCCAATCCTTTTTATCATTTTAAAACTTATTTTCAACTGCTAGTATGAGACCGAAACGATAAAAACCTAATCTTATATGTCTTAGGTTACTTCGACAATCGAAGTGAAATCAGCAGCCACAATATTCGGCTTCAGTAAAATCAATGTTTTAAATCTTATAGGATGTTTGCATTATGAAACATTTTTTGCAATAATGCCCTGGAAAAATTCAATTTTGACGTGCTGGATGTTTTTTGAGAAATCTCAGTTACAGTTGTTTTTCAAACCTAAATTCTAGATAAATTTCTTCTACGAAGAAAAATTGTGACTTTCCAGTCTAAATCACATATATTACGTGCCTCAGAATTTGGAACACCTCCTTAAACTTAATTTCTTGTGAATAGTTCCTTTCGTTAGGATTGTTACAACTACATAAATTAGTCTTAAAACTCTTGTATAGATGGGTAAATGTATAATGCTTTAGCACAATCATTTTCCAACCATATTTCGCTACTGAACAGTCAATCTTAAGTTTTTAAATTTTGGAAAAATTTCAAGGCTATCAGACGTCTGAATGAGAACCCTAATAGTATCATTATGTATGTTTTTCTCTGTGTGAGGTTGGTGTTTG